GAGTTTTGAGCAGTGTAGAGTAGCGCTTGTTGTTTGTCATTTCTCCAATCACAAATGCAGACATGGTTTTATGTTTACGTGGCGTGATGCAATGCAACGCGTAAAAAGACAGTACAAGTCATTATAATCCATAATTATGTCCCCCACTGGATGCAATGAATGCCTCGTTTATAATGGGTTTTATTGGTTTTGTCTCGTCGCGCCAGGACACGGCATCACAGTATGGTAGGGGCCGTACAATTTCCGTCACACGCTTGAGGAATTCGGCCAATCACAATGCACTGGATAGCTGGCCAATCAGAGCACACCTCGCTTTTCAGAACAATGAGCTTTGTAAAAATCAACGCATATCACAAAGGCGGGGCATAGAGAAGAAACAATAATGTACAGTATGTGGAAAATAATGTGTTTTTTTAACCTTAAACTGCATAAACACATTTCATTACACCAAATACACAACATAATGTTCTTTTTAGCAACATCATATGACCCCTTTAAAGGGATCTTGACCAGAATAAGCCATGTGAAACATCACTAAAAAGAATACAGCCATCTAGAACTTACTTGAAAAGATTGTCCATGATGTATTTGTAATTTGGTTGATTGCTCTCAGGCATAAAGCAAACAGCAAAGACAATTATGGCATTCAGTCCATCGCCATAGTAACCTGAGAAAAGGGGAATCATGTTTGAATGTGGCTACTGGCAAACGTTTGAACGTTAGTTGCGTTTTTACAGCAATTACACAAGTTGACTGATCCAATCCATCTGAATCAACAGCTCAGTCTGTGTAATTGTTCATTATATAACAGCATGCAAAAGAGGCATTTCGAATGAATGTGACAGCTGTTAGATGGCAAAAGGGAGGGGGAGGAAGTGGAAAAGGAAAAAAGAGAGATGGCAACAGGCTCTTCAGACTGACAGATGATCTGGAAAAGAGCTGTGGTGTTATAAATTATAATAAATGCTGCCGCAGTAATGCTCTAAAACATCAGAAGCACCGTTTTGAGAGTGAGAATGCAGCTAAATATCATAAAACAGCTCTGAATGTTTTCAGTTTCACCTACTGACAATTTCGACCATGGACAGTTTCACTTCCTGAATGGTGCAAACAGAAAGCGTCCTTGTATAGATAACAGACAGGACACATTGGCATGGAGAGGTGCGGTCACTGACCTCCATGGCTGATAACCCTCTTGTAGGGCTCAATGGCCTTCATGTCCACCCGGTGCTCCTGTTCTCCGATGCGGAAGACTCTCCAGCGACGGCCCTCCTCTTGTTCCTCCGTGCTGGTGAACTCTCGCACCGACTCCACTCCTTTACGCAGCAGGTCCGCGTTTTTGGGTTTTGGGAGGTCATCTGACAAGAGAAATAAAGGGTTTATTTTACTTAATATTTGTTATTTTTGAATGTATGTGCGCGGTTTTCTTTTAGTGTTCAGTTCAGTGACTGTTTGTGCAGTTATATGTTCAGGAATGATGCTTTGCTGATTCACAGTTAAAAAAATTAAAATAAAAAATAAATAAATAAAACTAAATGAATAAATTACACGTGTCCTGTGGTCTTTTGATTTAGCAAACCCAACTACAAAACTCCTAGGAGCGCAAAACAAGGTACAAATTAAAACCGTTTCGGTTTCTGTGTGCCAAAACAAGTAGCCAAACAAATGAGTATTAAACAAAAAAAAATATTTACAAAGGAGGAGTACACTTTATAATGTGTACATCTCTATGATAAGTCCTATATCGAAGCAAGTGTTGAGCACAAAGTGTGTTGATTTTTTTGCTAAAAATCCCAGGTTGATCAATTATTTTTCTTCAATGAGACAATCGCATACTCCATTAGAGCAGTGGTTCCCAACCCTGGTCCTGGAGGCACCCCAACACTGCACATTTTGCATGTCTCCTTTCTCGGACACCAATTTCAGGTCTTGGAGTCTCTACTAATGAACTGATGACCTGAATCGGGTGTGTTTGATTAAGGAGACATACAAAACGTGCAGGGTTGGGGTGCCTCCAGGACCAGTGTTGGGAACCACTGCATTAGAGAACCGAAACTGCAGATTTAAGGTCATATACATGTTTATTGAAATATGACTGAAGCTGCAAGTATTTTTTGTGTGTGCAGTGTATTTTCTTAATTTTTTAATTAAAAGTATGCCGCTGTTAGCTTAGCAACATGCTAATGTACGATTATAGAAATCCACTGTGAGGGTAACTTCTTTGAGCTCTTCAGATTAGTCACTTCAATTTTGACTGGTATAAATGTCTTAGAGGGTACCTGCCTATGTGGACAGTAGGTAACACAGCAGACAGCAAAGCAGCTAGCTAGGTTTTGGAACAGAGCTAATGCTAATACAACACTACCTACACACAAGCTAGTTTTCAATATTTACTTTATAAGATTTAACAGCTCATTATGGATAAATCTGTTATAAGATGTAAGAACCCTTGTGAAAAAGTGCACTTAATTACCGGTATACTGAATGTGCATTTGTAGTGTACTTTGAAACTTTAAAATAAAAAAAACTCTTCTTTCAGATAACAAAATATTTATGAAATAAAAAGTAAACTCACTTAAGAAAATTAACTATGGTTTCACTATAAATAAAACACAAAAACATGGTTAATATAGTTGAACTATGATGACTACAAACTAACCTTGGCTTTGTTACACTTAACCATAGTTTAATCATGGGATCTGTAGTTATACAAATGGTAATCAATACGCCAAAAAAAAAAAAAAAAAAAAGTTTACTACCCTTTTACTATAATAAAACTGCAGTTAATTTTCGTAAGGGACTTTCAGGAGTCATATAATCATTCATCGTAAAAAAGTATTTTAATGTGTAGGCTAACATACTAGAGCACATGTAAAGCACTTGATTATAATTTTAACTACAGTCAAAGTTAAAACATTTTAAATGTAATAAATTGCAGTTATCATTACATTAAATTACATACGACAAACACATTTCAAATTAAAGTATATTTTCATTTTCCATAAATGCTTGTCAGTACTTTCAGCAGAACAAGCAATAATGAAATTACATATTAAGATGTACTAAATTCCTACAGAAGTAGGTCAAAAAAATAAAAAATCTGTAATAGGTATGCTTTTTAAACAAATGCAATGCATTTTCACAATGGAAGGCTGCTTTTGCCTTTAAATTGAAAGTGATTCATTTCCAGCGTTGAAAAAAAAAAAATGATCAGGACACCAAAATGAAGCTGATTAATAGAATCAGATCTGATGAGATTCAAGGAAAAACCATGCACAAATCAAAATCCAACCATCAACATTCTCCACACAAAAACAATGGATAACATCTGATTTGTAGCGCCGTATCATACCACACCAAAGGGTGATATAACAAAAAGAAACTGAAATCAATGCTGTAGGACTTGATCAGGGAGTAAAACATCCAGTCAGGTAACCTTACCACAAACCGCAGGCCAGCGGCCTGTCGCAAACCAATGAGAAGAAACAATCCTTCCAGGAAAGAGAGAAGAGAGCAGCGGGACAGAAAAACAAAACAAGAACACATAATACTGTTTAACTAAGAGTTATTACAAAAAGCCGGTCCATGAAATGATCTCTGTAATGTTAGTGAGTAAGGAACATTTCTACAGGATTAGAAAGACATGAGTTTGAATGGCTGCACAATGACTAATTAAGCAGATTAGTTGCCTTTAAGATTATGTAATGTTAAACTATTAACATTTAAAGATTAAACCACAGTCATACCTTCCCACTCAAACTCGTTGCTGTTGTCTGAAGGGGTGTCTATATCGTCCAGGTCCAGTTCTGTACTCTCATCCAGCTCATCTGAAAGGACTGACCCCTCACTGTGGTCTAGGTTTAGGCTGATGTCCGGAGCCAAAAGCTTCCTTTTGGTTTTCTTTGCACTGTTTAGTCCATAAGACTGTGAAGCTGCAATTAAAAATATATATATCATAACGTTTCCTGAGCTAGTAATAAATGTATAATTGTCTCTACATATTCCATATATTTGAGAATATCTATCATTAAGGCTTACCAGGTGCTCCTTCACCAGAAGAGCCGGTGAAAAGCTCCTCATCAAGATGCATATCTTCCTCTTCTGGGAGTGGCCTGGCAACCCAAATAAAACACATTTGAAACTTATTGTAATATAATTTAGAATCTGCATTCATTAAAACCAGGGCCCATATTCACACAACATATTAAGGCTAAAAGTAGCTCATAACTTAGGGAGTTGGGAGAAAATCTTAAAAATAATGGGCGTGTCAATCCTAAATTTAAGACTCCTAAATTTTGGCTCCAAGATTTATTTTACAAAGCATTTTATCGCTAAAACTAGCTCCTAAATCTGCGAAATGTTAGGAGTAAGGAAGAGGACTCCAAAGTCACTAAGACCAAATCACAATCTATCCTCTCTGCTGAAAAAAACCCCAAAACAATACAAACCATCACAGAAATTCTAATGTTTCTACTAATACCATTATAAACATTACAAACCATCAACTTTTAACCATTAAAACCATAACATTTTTTATTAGGATTTAGTGGTTTTAACAAGCCACCTATAGAAGGTGACCAATTACCAGTAGAGACCAACAGGCACCATTACATTTACCATTAAAACCAATACAATTTCCATTATAACCAGTAAAACTACGGCTGCACGATAAATCGAAATGGAATTGAGATCGCGATTCGACATAAGCTGCGATTGTCATGCGTATCTTTCAGTGAAGCACGGTTCTGTGATCAGCAGTAAATCTCCATCCAAAGGCCAGAGGGCGCTCTCGCGCTGAAACTCCAAATACACCTTGCAGAAGAACCCCAGAAAATGCTGCAGCTGAATAAACAGAAGATTCAACTGCTTTCATTGATTCAACGTGACTAATAAACACACGACTACGGCAATATACGGGGTATCTGAGTTCTTATTATAATTTTCATTAAAATAAAGTATATTTATAATGCAATGCCTTTATCACTACTTAAATACTATGAAATATGTTGCGTGCCTTATTCGGTGTAAGAAGCCACATCATCTCACAGAAGGATTTTTTTCAAACACTCTACTGACATTATGAAGTGAGTTTGGAGTAAAAATATGTTATTAAATGTGGTATTTTCACATGCTTTCAGATGGAGCAGCATTTACTTCACTGAGAAGCTATGCAAACAGCTGTCATTATCGCGAACGATTTCAGAATCGCGCAATAAAATCGTAACTTGTCAGTGAACTTCGGCTATGTGTAGTAAATTCTACTTCATCTGAAAGCATGTGATGATGATTTCCTGCTGATTACAGAACCGGCATTACTATCGACTAATAAACACACGACTACGGCAATATACGGGTTATCTGAGTTCTTATTATAATTTTCATTAAAATAAAGTATATTTATAATGCAATGCCTTTATCACTGCTTAAATACTATGAAATATGTTGCGTGCCTTATTCGGTGTAAGAAGCCACATCATCTCACAGAAGGATTTTTTTCAAACACTCTACTGACATTATGAAGTGAGTTTGGAGTAAAAATATGTTATTAAATGTGGTATTTTCACATGCTTTCAGATGGAGCAGCATTTACTTCACTGAGAAGCTATGCAAACAGCTGTCATTATCGCGAACGATTTCAGAATCGCGCAATAAAATCGTAACTTGTCAGTGAACTTCGGCTATGTGTAGTAAATTCTACTTCATCTGAAAGCATGTGATGATGATTTCCTGCTGATTACAGAACCGGCATTACTATCAAAATGCGCATGACAAATCGCATTCGATTAATCGTGCAGCCCTAAATAAAACCATTAAAAATTCTGTGATGGATTGTTTTTTTCAGCAGGGCTAATTTGGCTCTTGCCGGCAATCTGCCTCGAAAAGCAAAAAAAATTTTAACACTGCATTTATGGAAAAAAACTTAACTTGAATGATTTTAGCAAATGGCTGCAATATTGTTAAGAGTGAAAATTTTAAGGGGGTCTGAATACTTTCCGTACCCACTGTATGTTTTCCCAAGCTGCTTTTTTTGGTTTTGGAGGTTATCCCAACTCAAATTTTCCTTTGATTATATCCTTGTTTTCATTAACAATTTGGGCAAGAAGCTTTTATTGCACCCATTTTGGTTTTCTTTTCCCCTGCTATGAATTGTAACATTAAAAAGGATATTTAACTAAGATATTTAACTGGGTACTTTGAGTACCCAGAAAAAGCGCTATATAAATGTAACAAATTCATTATTATTATATTTATTTAGAGTGCAGACATTCTTTAATTTCAATGAGATGGCATATCTTTTGTTTGTTAATTGTGTAATCTGCAATAATTATCAATAACTGTATAATTTATTCATATAATATTTTATATCAAAATAATAATATTATAAACAGGCTTAGTCCATTTATGCAATATACAAAAAAAATTGAATTTAGAATTTCCAGCACAAGGTTCAGGTAGATTTTTAAAAAGTTTTTGAAAGAAGTATCTTAAGTAAAACTCAGTGTTGCATTTATTTGATCAAAAATACAATAAAAACAGCAATATTGTGGAAATATTATTACAATTTTAAAAAACTGTCTTGTATTTTATTTCAAACAATATTGTGAAATATTATTACAGCTTAAAAAATACATAAATTTCAAAATGTAATTTATTCATGTCATACAAAGCTGAATTTTCAGTATCACTACTCCAGTCTTCAGTGTCACATGATCCTTCAGAAATCATTCTAATATGCTGATTTGCTGCTCAAGAAACATTTTTTAATTATTATCAATGTTGAAAACAGTTGTTTCTCTTAATATTTTTGTGGAAAACATGTGGAAAGTTCTTTGAAAAAAGTTCAATAGAACAACATTTATTTGAAATAGCAATTTGTGACATCTCTGATTTAACTTTTTGTATAAGTTTAATGTATCCTGGCTGAACAAAACTATTTTCTTAAAATCTTAAAGGGCTCCTATAATGCAAAATCTTCTTTTACAGGTTGAACACAAACACCCTACAATGATAAAAATCCACCCACTCCTTATTTTAAAGGCAGAGTGAGGGATTTCTGGTAGCCAATGTTTATATTTGAAATCACCAAAACAAACACGCCCCTACCCCAAAAGGGTTTTGCCCCTATTCTGATAGCTCCACCCCACATATATGTACGCAACGATTAGTTCTGTGAAACAAAGCAAAACCAATGTTACACCGTGTCTACGGATGTGAGCGGCGCGGCGCAACAAATCCCGACAGAAAACTGCTGCCGGGTTCGATTTATGACGTGCTGACACATTTCAAATGGTTTTCAACGGTCGTTTGAGCGCGTCCAGTGTAGACAGACTTTAGCTGTTGCAGACACGGTGTTACTCATCCTATTGAGAAGAAACAAAGCAACCTCGGCGTCCGATCGCAGGCCTCCGCTCCTTGAGTTCTTTCCAGCGCTGGAAAACTGATCCGATATTTACACGGGTCCTACTTCTTGCCTTATCGTTCCGCAGACGTTTTCCTCTTTTGTTTTTATCCTCCATCTCCATCTTTCTGTCGCTGGCTCGGCTAATGTCCGTCCTGTGCACTGAACGCGCTCTCCTCCACATCACGAGTAGACACGCCCCTTATTGCTGATTGGCTACAAGTTTGTTTTGCGAATCGGCCCGAATCAGTTTTTAAAGTGTTTTTGAAAAATCACTTACTCTGCCTTTAATCCCCATTAAACCAAATCAGTCTCACTAGGCCTGCCGTGTTGATTCTCTAAGCAATATGACATCACATTGTTTAGGCCGTGCCAACAGCCTTTGACTGACAGTCCTGCATTGCCATAGTTTCTCCCTTAGCGGTTCTACGCTGTCCTCCATTTTCTCTGCACTGGAGCAGCTGTAACGTCACCAATGTCTCGTAAGCAATCCCGGTGTTCTGTGTTTGGATATAAGACTGAAAATAAGGGTGCTTTCACACCTGGCCTGTTGTTTCGGAACCTGGCACGTTTCCCCCCTCAGCTCGGTTCGGGTGAGCACGTCTTCACCATTCAAAAATCAAAGCGCACTTTTTTAAATTTTATAATGCCTTATTGCTCTTCTTTGTAGTAGGTGCATTTTAAAAATGTTTTCCCAATCAATCCTGGACTCCTGCTCAAAATGATAAATTATTATAACGACAACTACAAAAAAAAAAAAAAACAATAAGCCTGCGAAGCTGTTGTCGTTCCATCCTTGTGACTTGTATTAACAAATTTGGTCCGTTGAGAAACTTTGCCGTGTGAAAGCAAACCGCACCAAGAATAAAAAGCAACATTGTAATAATTTTAATCCCGGTTTCGGAACAAAGCAATCGATCTACAGGTGTGAAAGCACCCTAAGAGTCTTTATTTTCTCCCAACATCTGAGCCACTGCGTACGCAGTGGATTACTTCTATTTTTCAAGGTAATGCGCCTCAAAATCTACCTAAATATGCATGTCTGCGCAAATCATTTCACTCTAGACTAGTTTGTGAATGTCATGTCGTTACAGTGCTTAGCTAACATTTTAACTGTATTTGTGTGCATACTTCAAAGTATTTTAACTCAGTGGTTCCCAACACTGGTCCTGGAGGCACCCCAACAGTGCACATTTTGCATATCTCCTTTCTCGGACACACCAATTTCAGGTCTTGGAGCAGGGTTCCTCAAATCTTGCCCTGGAGGGCAAATGCGCTGCAGAGTTTAGCTCCAACCCTGATCAAATTCACCTGCCTGTGATTTTCTAATGATCCCAAAGACATTGATTAGCATTGATTAACATGCTCAGGTGTGTTTGATTAGGGTTAGAGCTAAACTCTGCAGAAAAGTGGATCTCGTGGTCCAGATTTGAGGATCCCTGTCTTGGAGTCTCTACTAATGAGCTGATGAACTAAATCAGGTGTGTTTGATTAAGGAGACATGCAAAACGTGCAGTGTTGGGGTGCCTCCAGGACCAGGGTTGGGAACCACTGTTTTAACTGATCAGCACCGCGCTGGTGAGATTAGTTCCCGCCGCACTGTCCGTTGGGTAGCGCTAGCAAACACGTCCTCCCTGCATTGTCGAGTCAGCGTGGCACAAACTCAGTAACAATGCGCCATTTCATCCCACTTTCGGTGTGTTTGGCTTCCCATATGTATGGCTAAACACCGGCTACCTCGCTCTCAGTCATGTTGCTTCTACTGGCTGTTTAGTGCTGTAGGTATGCAAATGTCCGCTATGCCCTCTTCTGAAGATGGGGCGGGAAGATGCAGCTCATTTGCATTTAAAGTGATACACACTAAAACAGCTCTTTTTAGACGCCCCAAAAATTTAATTTTCCAGATGTTATAATAAATGATCTGTGGGGTATTTTAAGTTGAAACTTCACAGACACATTCTGGGGACACCCAAGACCATTACATTTTATTACATCTTGTATAAAGGGGTATAATAGGTGCCCTTTAATGACCACAACCTTTTGAATGGTAGTGCATTTTGCAATATATATCATGAAGAAAAAAAAAAACATTTTGGTCATACCACCCACCATTATCATATACACATCTTAATAGCCTACCTGGGGAAGTCCTCATCTTGCCACTCCTCCTTTAGCTCCACCCCTTCCATTCTCAGCCGCGCCTCTGTGGTAGCAACTGACTCCTGGTGCTCAAAACTGAAGGATAAAAAAAAACGAACCATTTGGCAGCCGTTTTGGTTTTAAAACAGCCCTAGTTCATAGCATGTTATTCACTCACTAAAAAAACCAATACGTCCGAGTTGAAAGAGTCCAGAAATCCAAATCTGATACTGGCTGATAGTCATTCATCACAGAGCTACAAACTGCTAGTAATGGAGAAACAGCTTCAAACTGCCTAATACCACCACTGCACACATTAAGATTCAGAATATCACAGCTTATGACATAAGAAAAAATCCATATGGGCCTCTTTGGGGAGTTAATCTCCAATACAAAGGCATGTAAACTCCTGCGGACTTCATACACATTGAATTCTGTTACATACGAGATAAGCTCTTTTACAAATGGAAGTAGGCGAAAGAGTTTCACCTTCTTTGGGGAAAGATTTGGGTGGTGACTCTGGAAAGGCCAGAAATTCTTGGAGTGTGTTCAAAGTTCAACGTTTTCGCCGTAGAGAACAAACCCGCTCTAATTTCTTAGAAATGCAGCAGATTAGGATGCCCTACTTGCTAGAACTAAAGTCATTTCACAGAGAGATCACTGGTAGGGTGGGACTCTCCTCAAAAAAAATTATTACTAAACACTAGATCCAATGTTTGAATATCTATAATTCAGACTGAAGAGCACAAACTACAGAAAAACAGAATGCATCCTCATGAGCGGTGTTCAGACTGGAATTCTAGCACCCTGCTTAGTGTGCAAAAATTATGAAACCGTGTGCAGCACGCAATTTCAAACAGTGGTAGGTCAATGATCTCCTTGGAAATAAAAATAGTAGCATTTGCATTTAATGGGGTTTTCAACCCGGTTACCACAATTTGGTTTGTGTCTAATAGTTTAAAACTCTGATTTGGGTAATTTTGCAATAAAAATTAAATGTACATCAAAATTAAACATAAGTGTACAAACACAGCAAACATTGTAGCGGTGTTATTTTAGTTAGGGATGCACGATATATCGGCCACCATATCGGTATCGGCCCATATCGGCTCATTTTTTCTGTTATCGGTATCGGCCAAAATTTTCATATCGGTGCATCCCTAATTTTAGTATTATTTATATACTATTTTAGCTTTTAATTTATCCGTTTTTATTTTTACTTTAATTGATGTGCTATTGTCATCTTTACGAAAATGTTTTAGTGTTTGCTTTAAAATATTTCTATTATACTTTAATGTATTTTTTATTTTTGTTTTATTAATTTTAACATTTAAACTAGTTAGTTGCCAATTATACGTTTTTCATATAATATTTTAGTTTATTTTTATTCATAAAAAAAATGTATATATTACATAAATATATTATCACGAACTAACAATAGATTTAATTAATCTTGGTTAATGATAATAAAAAACATTTTCATTTGTGTTAATTTTTAACTTTAAATGTTAAAAATGTACTAATGTACATAGATTTTTATATACCTTTAGATTAATAAATACTGTAAAAATATTGTTCATTTATTAATGTTAACTTATACAACCTTACTGTAAAGTGTTACCATAAAATAAAAATGATTTTCATTCATTTTAATATTTAAAAATATTAACATTAATGCTAGTTTTCATTTGTCACAGAGAAAAACAACATAAGATTGAGTGCATTGCATGTTGGGATACAGTATTCTATGCAGTGCACTCAACTGCATGCTGCATATTTTGGTAAATGCATATATATGCCATGCATTCAGAAAATATGCATACTACACACAATATTAATACTGCATCCTGCAAAAATAGCAGTATACATGCAAATTACTGTGTACACAGTCAAACGCCCTACATCGCATTCAACCAAGTTTCTAAGTAAAATTGGCTTTCATCTAAAAATATCTTGTATTCCCATCAACCTGTTATTTGCGTGTGTGTTTTGTGTGTTTACAGGCTGTTGTCTTCTGATTTTAATGAATGAGGCTCAGCAAAGGAGTCATTCATCCACCAGCTGTTTAGTCATTTCAAAGAGAGGCTGGCGCTCAGATGTGAGACACTGGTTAACTGTGGACGGGAGCTAATTGCCATGCCATCCATGTGGTATCCGTCATACTCCTCCAGGGGGAAAGTCTGCCACTCTTTATGCCACCCTCCCCACAAGAGATCTGCAACAGTTCACACTGTCGTGTCATGGGACACACCACTGCGATGTTTGCTCATGTCTCTTTGTTAAAGTATTACATAAATGAACACAAAAGAAGATCTTTTGAATGATGTTTTAACTGTTTTTGGCCATACAATGAAAGTCACTGGGGTCCAAAACAACTTTAAACTCCATTGACTTTCACTGAACATAAACAACAATTTTCATTCTTGGGTGACATATTTCTAAGATTTTGAATGAGATTTTAAGTAAAGGATTCAAACCCTTAAACCTGTCATTATAAAACAGAATCACAGACTTAGACTCTGTTTAATGTACCTACTGGCACACAGAATTTTTTTTTTTACAGTAACTATGTACACACCTGAGACTAAGCACATGACTGAATAGACTGTACACACCTAGAGACGGTTATGAATGTATCACTTACAGGCGTATGGTTTGCATGCCACCACACCCTACAGTAAGTGACAATAACGGCACACAGACAAAAGGCACTTCATGAATAGGGTGTCAAATAAAGTCACTTTCCATGGGGTTTTCAACCCTGTTAGCACCATTTGGTATATGCCTAAAAAACACTTGATTTGGGTGACTTAATATTAAAATTAAACCGAATAAATGATCAAAATGTGCTATTTTAGTATCTTTGACATTCTATTACAGCATTTATCAAGATTTCAAAGTAGCTTTTATTATTTTTAAGTTTGTTGTGTTATGTGCTTTCGTCACTTTCATTAGTTTGTTTCAAATTTTTCTATTTAGCTTTATTTCTTTTTTTTGTTTTTGTAAATTTAATACTTCAACTTACTAAACTTATTTTCAGTTAACTGTCAAAACAACATCTCTAATTTTGAGTTTCTAAGTTCAAGTTCTGAATCTAATATTTATATTTTAGTTCATTTCAGTTTTATTTCAGCTGACGAAAATTGCTTTAGCTTCGGTTTCAATAACTCAGCAGAGTTTTTTTTATTAATAAGTACTTTTTCTTATAATAACTTTGCATCGAACTGAACCGTTCAACCCTGTTACCAGTCACCATAGTGTGAAAAAACGTAGAAAAAGACAGCATTTATTTGGCACCCCTTCGTGTGGTAGAAAGCGTCAAATGATTTTACTTCCAGTGAGTCCAAATTTTAAGTAATGTTACTTTTTTACAGGAGAAAAAATATATAATAACAGGGTGGGGTAAAAATGCGGGGCACTGAATACCACATATTCAGTCATAAAAACTATAATGAAATGAATGTCAATTCAACAGATTAGATCAAAATAACTATTGTTGTATGATTTTAACAGTTGATACAGGGGGGAAGACCTCTGAGGTAGAATGGATCTCAATGATGGATTTGTTTTTCAAACATGCCGATTTTCACTTTTTAAATGATGGACTGGAGTGGTGTGGATTACTGTGATGTTTTTATAAGCTGTCTGGACTCTCATTCTGACGGCACCCATTCACTGCAGAGCATCCATTCTCCTGAGCAAGTGATGGAATGCTAAACTTCTCCAAATCTCTTCAGATGAACAAACAAACTCATCTACATCTTAGATGGCCTGAGTGCGAGTAAATGCTCAACTTTGCCTGAACTATTATTTTCCTTTAAGAAGAGACACAAACATTTGATTTATTTACAGCTTTTCTTTCTGTTATTTTCCATTACCTTCCGTTGTGCTCAGCTGGAGAGGAGAGCGTCTGCGGCGCTCGCGCAGGAGTTGAAGTCCTCGCGCCTTGCTTTCGTCTATTGTCTGGAGTCGCTGCTTCCTGCGGCGGATCTCCTGTTCGGACCGGACGGTCTCCATCCTCCAGCGAGTTCTTCCCTGCTATTGAGTCCTGAGGTAGCTCTTCCTCAGAGTGAACCGATGATGATGATGATGATAACGGGCTACTTATATAGCTGTTTTCTCGCGCCTCCGATGTCCGGCTGGGTGTGTCTGATTCGGGACTGCTTCTGTTGGCGTTCAGATCACTCGAGTCTCTCTGGTTTGAGACCTCTTCAGTCGCTATTGCATCTGTGGCCATGATCGATGATGACTGAAGTGTGGTCGATTAGAATCGATCAGCAGAAAACGCACGCAAATCAATCTTTTGCACGAAAAACCAACCGTAATATTCAAACAACAACGACTTCACATAGTTACATGTTAATACTCATAACAGACTGTGTGTTTAAAACGCGAGCATTTGTGTGGCTATCAAGTATGCTGCAAAACAATCTTGCCCTTTGAAGTGAAGTCCCCGATGAGAGTGTGTTTAGTGGGCCAGCAGCGCGCAGCCGGACGCTCTCCTCTCCTGCTTCCTGTCAGTTAAACACTTATAACGCTGACAAAAGCGTGTCGATCATAGCAAAGCACAACGGAGTCGATAGCGGTCTAGAGGACGGGTTTAATCGCTGATAAACTCCGCAGACGCATCTCATCTGTTGCTTCTTTTGGAAGTGTCGGGTACATTAAGGTGAAGTCTGACTCAATAATACACACAACTTCCGGTCACAATGTTGATCGAGTTCAAAATAAAAGTCTCCCGGGTCACGAATGAGCTCAGAAATGGCTGTGGTTGATTTAATGCCAATAGTAAAAGTACATTAACAAGAACGTATTTATTACTTTATATATTTTTTTTAGTAGAAATATTTTTTGGTTGTTTATTAGATTACTGAGGGATGTGAGATTACATTTGTGTTGATATTTATTTAAATACTTTTAAAACTTCTTTGTATTATGGCAGGGTTATTATAGTTAACTAAAACTAAAACAGACCAATAAAAAGCTCATTACTTGAAATAAAGTAAATGTGTCTGAAATCAAATAAAAGAATATATAAAAACGTAAACTTATTCATTTCAGCGAGCTGACAGGGCAACTTTGTCATTTTCATTTAATTTATCTCGATGTACTAAAATAACTAAAACTGAAATAAAAATAAAGCAACAATACGGACATTTTAAAATAATTAAAAAAAACGAATAACAAATAACAATACGCAAAATTAATAAAACTTTCAAATGAAAATGAAAAGAGCAAATAAAAAAATAAAATCTAAAATTTTGACAAAAAATGACACTAACATAATACTGTATGGAGGTCACATTAAACTCTTTTCCATGCCCATTTTTTAAAAATGTCTTTAATTTATAAAAAGTTGTTGTTTTACCTTTGTACCAGACTCTGACTTTCAATCCTAAACTATGAAAAACCGCCTTGAAATTACGAAATATTACATGTTTAAAACTAACATCAAAAAAAAATAAAAAATCCATCGTAAAAAAAAAAAAAAAATGAAACTGTGATGATCTAATCATCAAAGACTTGATGACCATAACTGCCACGTCTCGCAGTTTTGTAGCTGATCAAGGACAACAGCAGCGTCCGTGAAGAGTTTAAAAGGAAATATGAGACTTTTGTGTAGGCTATTAGTATGCTATGCAGAATGCTAGTCATGAAATTAGCCTTAGCAAGACTTCCCTTAACGGAATCCTAAAGAGAATATATTCTCAATAGCCTACATAATTTGAGATGTTACGGAAACGACAAAGGAAAAGTTATTTTTTGTTCCGAAAAATGGCAGTGACTTAATTCTTCTGTGATGCACGTTATATCCACTGTTGCATATTGTTAGCAGACACATGAAATAGTTTTTTTATTTTTTTTATTTTACAGTGTCCATATTTAAGGAAACATCAATATTTGCAACCGACAGTATGTATTCTGACCTAACTAGTCGACTGGATGGATGTAATAACGGCTGTCAAGTTTTGCTCTATTCACTAGGTGGCGACAAAACACTATATTAAATGAGCTCTTGCTGTAATTCATCTCAGAGTAGAAGGACCTCCCCAATAATTGAAGATTAGTGATTCAGTGTCAATATTGAAGTCACAATGAGTAACATGATTTTTTTTTTAGTTTAATGTTTTTATATTCCAAAATATGGTAGTACATGGAAGTTCAGTAAAAAAGTATTTTTCCCCACAGATTAATATTTATAAGACTGTATTTACTTGATTATTACGTTTGATTACAATACACCTGCTTAGTGCTTATAATACGTTATTGATGTTAGTGATGCAGAATGCAAATCTAAGATGTCTTAAGCAGAGATGTTTTATGTCAGTCTGTAGTTTTCAACAACATAGTGTTGTCAAGAATAGACAGATAGATAGACAGACAGACAGACAGACAGACAGACAGACAGACAGACAGACAGAGATAGATAGATAGACAGACAGACAGACAAGATAGACAGACAGACAGACAGAGATAGATAGACAGAGACAGACAGACAGAGATAGATAGATAGATAGATAGATAGATA